ATTACCTTTTTTTCTTTAATTTGTGAAAATAACCATCCCTTTTCAATGACGTCTGGGTGTTATTGAGAACCACACAATAAGTAAACTTCAGAAACCTTTGAGGCGTGTAGATAGGAAAGCGCGGTGGTGCGCTAAAGTTAAAGCTTGTGCAACGGGCGCAATGCTGGCGGCGCGAAATCGCGTATGACGAGAGACGGAAAAAACCGCGTGGGCGCGCTTTCGCGTTCACAAGCCTGGCGCGTGTGGGACGAGCGGTAACTTTAGCACTTATTTTAGGGGTTTTCAACGACGCTCAGCGAGTTTCTGATTGGAGCCATATCTCTAGCTTCAACAATTAGAAATTTTATTATAAACACATTTGAGATAATTAACCTAGTTGTCGTGACGATTATTTTCCTATATTATGTCCTCCTAGCCGTATACAACTCGCCTGCAAAGACCGCATTAATGTAGCTTTCACGGCTACATTCCTACATAATAATGCGTAACGTGAAAGCACTTTCAAATAGACCTCTCCTCGCTTCGGGAGCCTGCATCCGAATTCAATAGATTTTCCGTAACTAACTACAGTCTTGTTGGAGAAATCGTCAGTTTCACCATCTCGAAAGGTACAAGTGAAATCACAAAAACGCTTTATTTTTTTTTTTTTTCTAGACGGTTATTGAGAAAACAATCAGCTATAACAATTCAGTTGAAAAAGAATATTATTTGTACGAATAGAATACTACAGAATTCAAGAATTTTGCACATAAAAGCAAAATTTGCGGAATTTGACGGGCATTGCCCACAAATTAATTCAATGAGCGGTGGCCACATGACCGGTGTCGGCGTGGGGACGTACGTGTTATGCCGTTCCATGTTCGCAGGGTTTGGCAGCAGGCCCCAAAAAGTACTCTGCGTTGACAAAAAAAAAAAAAAAATTACAGTGATTTTATTTAAGAAGTCCAACAGACGAATCATAATCAGACTTACACGAGGGAACCCACACGAAAAATGTGGACGCCCAATACAAGATATAGTCCAGTGGCTTTTCCGGCCGGGGCGGCACAAAAGCAGTGTCATCACCGTTATATACCGGAAATAAATAACGATATAGCTTTACTCGTTAATGCATAGGTGTGAAGCGGAGCTGGTCCTAAGACGTCGCAATAGGCTTAAAGGGATGCTGAACCGAAATCTGGATTCCACAAAGCGCGCCGACAAAAGCGTGCAACGGGATGACAAAAATCAAAACATCGCTCATACAACGATATCTCGAACGGATGACCGTATTTTTCAAATAAAGGAGGCGCATTTGACAGAAATGTTTACGTCATGTTTCTACGAGAAGGAGGAGAGAGAACGGCATCGCGTTTACTCCGCCTCGCCGCCTTGAGGGGGCAAAGCGAAGAGAGGAGGAAACGAGGTATCTTCACGTCACGCGCCTCGTCGGCCGGGTTCAATCTCGACCTCTTTTTTTTTTTTAAAAAATACGGCCGTTCATTCGAGATACCGCCTTACGAGTAGTGTTGTCGGTATTGTAGCGTCCCGGCCTACATCTCTAACATTGTTTTTTTGAAATCCAAATTTCGGTTCACCATCCCTTTAAAAGCCGGTCTGGTCTCTCTCGGTCTTACTCGGTTGCATATGTGTGAACGCTGCTTCACACGTTTCAATCTAGTCCCCTGTTCGAACTTAAGAACAGTTGCTTCTCGGTGTTGTTGTCCGCAAGACGAGTAAGTGGAGATGAGCTGTTGGAAGGCCAGTCTTGAAAACTACAAGTCCTTCTTCGTGAAGGTTAATTCCCTGTTTAGTTTGAAGGTGGGGGAGACGGAAAGAGGGAATAAAAGGTAATTTTTGTCTATCTTTTAAGCGACCAATGTTCGGGATACAAGGGTACGTTCGATGTATGGTAACTTGTTCTTTTATTGTATATTTTGGTCTCTTTGTAGAAGTTCAGTGATGGCTGTAGTCAGCCTTCGATTTCTGGGTGTATGAGGAATCGTGAAAGCGACAAATGTAGCTGAGTTTGAAACGTCCCTCTCTCTGTGTCTTCTTTTCGACTAAAAGATTTGCTTTTTGTAGCGAATGCAGTGTCAGGCACTGAAACAATCGTTGTCCACTATCGCTCCTGCAACCTACAGTTACCAAGCGAGGATCACACAAAATAAACCCTAATATAAGTAACAAAGAAGTTAACGAGACCCTGCTCTTCGTAAATATATTGTTTTTATACTTTCAGAATTTCCTCTTTAAAATAAAATAAACATTACCCCACTGGACGAAAAAAAAATGGAACGCCGTTCCCTTTTCCGTTTAGGTAAAAATGTAACAAGTTCCCGTTCCAGTTCCACCGATGGAACGGCGGTGTTCCTTCGTTCCTCCTAAAAAGAACGCGTTCCAGGAACGCCGTTCCGTACAATACAGGTAGAAAGGAACACGAATCGTGCAGGAATCGGTATATGGAAATGAAATAGGAAGGAAAAGACAACAGGAAAAGCGGTGATATAAGACGCCTCTGCCAACGACGGTCAACTCACAGGGAGTCATCGTGAAACCAGCGGTTGACTGCGAGTGTAATAAATCACCATATCGCGATGGATGAAGATCAAAAGTGACCTTCGACGTATACGGGCTTTGCATCGCTTATCACCCGGGTGAAAATTGCTGAGTCACTGAATTGTGAAAGCATGCGCAAAGTCTGATCTACCGCACAGAAAGAGCAACAAGGCATGCTCAGAATGCCTTACACAGCCCAGCAGACAAAGATGGCAGCGTGTAGAAGGCGATTTTTTCAAATATCTTTAAATGCCGACAACCTGCAGACTCGAGATTCTGCAAGGCAGAAGATCCTCTTCACCATGGGGGAGGAGGAAACAGGCAACGGTGGACAGGGTGGAAAGGGGGAGAGGAGGAACCGGGGGAAAGTGGAAAGCGCGAACTGATCGTCGGTATTTAAACCAGGAGAAACCGTAGCAGTGCGATGCGTCATGAGAGAAGCTTCTTGGGTTCCTTCATTTCGGTCCCAAACACGCAAGCAACAACCGCATTTGTTTTTTACTCTTTTTTTTTTGTAATAATGCGATTTAAATGTATTTCAAGCATCATGCATACGCCATTGCTCGTTATGAAATGACAGTCCGCTGCCTTTGTGTAGTATGGTTTCTGAATAGTGCTCAAGCGCTTTCTATGTATATGGAATAGGAGCTCCTATTCCCGAAAAGGACTAACATTTCACAACTTTGGGTCCCAGGAATGGAATACATTTGTAAACGCAGGCATATGTGAAAATAACATTTATCAGAAGTCTGCTCAGAACTTTCTGGGCTTTTGTTGAGGTAGTTGGTTTGTCCGCGAAAATTAAGTTGACCAAATATGGACAGCTGAATTCTCACAAAATTTCAATGAACTATGTTTATAATCTGTTATTTCTAAGCATCTCGATGTCGTGATTTCGAATAATAAAATACTAAGGTTTTTTTTTTTTTTTTAATCGTATGTTTTAGTGATTTTATGTTTACTATATTTTGATTCTGACTGCTCTAGGGGGGTGATAGCCGCATCAAAAGACAATCTTTTTAGGGGCGAAGCTCCTTGGGCTAGCCATGTCCGTATGTCCGTCCGCCGTCGGGTGCACGTGCTCCTGCTCGTGAGCTCACGTGCTCACGAGCACGTGAGCACGTGCTTCCGTGCTCGTGTAAGGCAAAAAAACAAAAAACAAAAAAAAAACGCATCTCCACGTGGTGAATGATGTTGATTGGGGCGAAGCTCTGGTGGTGCTTGTCTGCGTAGACGGTGAGCCGCAGCATGCCGAGCCTTTCGTTCGTTTTCATCCATGTCAGAAAGAGAATGTGTGGTATGGAACGTGGTTATATACGCATCTGAGCATTTGACTGCAGCCTGACATGGATGAAAACGAACGAAAGGCTCGGCATGCTGCGGATCACCGTCTACGCAGACGAGCACCACCAGAGCTTCGCCCCAATCAACATCATTCACCACGTGGAGATGCGTTATCTTTTTTTCCTCCCGCAATGCAGATGTTTTTGTATTTTATGTTCCACTCATGTTAATGTTATTGTTAGTTTCTTTTTTTTTTTTTTTTTTTTTTTTTTTCAACTAGCTGCTCTAAGGGTTCAGTTCAGAACTTAATACCTCCTTTTACGGCCGTCTCCTAGACACATGCATGTGTGAAATGAATGTATATTATATATTATTATTTTCAAACAGATGTCCAAAAAGACGAGTCACAAGTTGAATAGAAATCCAAACACGCGAACCTCGATACACAATATTTTTGGAAAAAAGATTCATCGAGTTTGTCTTGAGAACATATTGCTGATTTCAATCAGCGAACTCTCGTGCGGCTCCTTTTTATTAGTACTTTTAATAGTGCTCAACAGTTTATATTTGCGCGTTCAGCTTTCCAATTTTCTGGCTGAGCTTACAGGAAACACTGCATAAATTTCCATCACGGGAAGATGCAGCTATATAAACTGCTTCAGCTTGTAGGCATCTTGTTACTTTATCAAGTTCTTTTTTTAGGTTTTTTTTCTTCTTTTTTTTTTTGTGTGTGTATGTGTTGACCGTTTTTCACATAGGTCACATACCCTACACGCGAAACGCGACTCTTTGCGAAATGAGTGAGCGTCGTGGTTGAAATTTGTGACGCGTTGAGGACTCCGACCAACGGGCAGCAGGCCGCGCGCCGGGCAATAACAAAGCGGCACCGGAGCGTGACATCTCGTCGGCGACCCGGCGGTGAAGCGGGCCCGAAACCCTGACCGAAAGGTATCCGGGCGCGCCAAAGAAGCCGTCCGCGCCGAGAGCGGATATTGCGTCCAAAATGATAGACGCTCCCACGAATGCCTTCGGAAGTCTGACCTCGTTATTAAATCTCCGCCGAAACCGCGCGGACCGGGCAAGAGCGGCCCCAAAAGGAGGCATCTCCGTCCGGGGCATCCCCCGTCGAAGCCCCCCCGCGCGCCTATCCACCGGCGCCTGGGCGGCCCGCCATTGGCAGCGGCTCCCGAGGTACGGGCGGAGCGAGCGCTGCGGGCGGAGCAAGGCCCAGCGCGGCGCAGAGGGTAGCCGGCCGCCGTCCCCCACGCCGCCGGAGCCCGACCCGGCATGCTAATCGCACAGAGGCCGGTCTCGGAGCCGGTCGCCATTCGGTCGCCCGCTCCGATCAGGCAGGACGTGTGCGCCCGCTAAGCCTCGCCAGGATTATGATGAGCCGCGTATGATGAGCACGCGGATGACGAGCCCCGAGCCGACGGATGGGAGTCGGTCCGGGTCGCCGGCGTCGCCCGTGCCGTCGCAGATGGCCCCGGTGCCCGAGGTGGCCGCCCTCAAGCCCCGACTGTCCTTCAGCATCAGCCGCCTGCTGGGCGACGACGACTCCGGCGGCGAGCGGCCGCGCCGGCCGGCCAGCGACGGCAGCGGACACCACGGGGGCGAGCCGTCGTCGCCGCTCATGGGCATGGGCGAGATGCCCGCCGCGCTGGTCGCAGCACAGCTCAGCCCGCTCCACCTTGGTGCCAACGGGACTGTGATTCGCGTGCCGGCTCATCGGCCGGCGCCCATGAACGCCTTTCCGTCGGCCGCCTTTCCCTGGATTGGGCCGCCGCACCCCGCCGTCAAAGACCGCCTCCAAGGTAGGTGACCGCCGCTCGTCGTCGTCTGCACGTGTGCCGGTGCCGGCTCGCGGGCCGCGGTCGTGAATGCCACCCCCCGGGCTGGCATTCACGCGCCGCTGCCCCCGAGTCAGGACGGGGTGGGCTTCGCCTGCGAGTCTCGTGCGCCGAAGCTCCATCTCCTGTGTTACTTCGATGCCTCCAAACACTCCGGGCCAGTTGCATCCAGTGAAATTATACACGTTTATATGCTTCCTAAACTGCCTGCCATATGAATACGATCGATTGTCCACACCTTGTTTTCTTAGTTTCTGTAATTCAGCCTCGTGAGGGGCATCAAACCACATCATGGACATCCTGATGTACAGCACTCGCAATTGCTGGTGCAGTGAAGCTTCTAAAACTTTTAAAACTTTAATATGTGTCGAGTACGTTGTGCTTTAAAACCGTTGATCAACTGTATACTAAAAAATCCCGTGAAGTGGAGAGGTACCTCCGCGAGCCATGTCATCCGACTATAGGTTTGCCCCAGCCGTTTCACAGCTCTAACACGGATAAAAGTATCATAATAAAGAATACTCGGCATTTTTTCACTCCGTGGGACCACTAGAGAGGCCAAATGTCAATATGTCAAATGTCGTTTGTAACCTCAAGCCTGAGCACGATTACTTATGCTCGTGGCTCGCAGTGACATGCGATCCATCCCGCGTGTGTGTTTGTGATGGAAGTTGCCAAGTTTCAGAGTGCGCAGAGACGAAAGGTCACTTTTTGAATACCAAATTGCCCTAACTTTCACTGCGGAGGAGCCTTTGGACCGGGTCCCCGGTGTATGTATATACATGTGAAGACTGCACGGGTCAACTGTGGACTCGTTCTACACGTGTAAGTCACGCTTGACATCTCACCTCACGTGATATTTGTCCATTATATTATTAGCCAAAGTGCGGGCTATGCTGTCAGAACGGGCAAGTTAAATGCGCCCAGAGTATACTCAAATACAATGACAAAGCCCACATCAATTCAACTGGATATATAAACGAATTATGACGTTAGCCTCTGCCGTGAACATATTAGTAGCTATTTCCTTCGTAGTAAACTCTCAAATATAGGTTAAACGTAATTACTAATCCTGAGTACGTTTATTATCAACGTCACGTATGCCAACTACTAAGGTTGTTTTTTTTTTTTTTCTTCGTCGTGTATACATTAAAACATAAAACATACCTTGCGTACTTGCGTGTTGTATCAGTTGTGGTAAAGCAAAGTACTCGTCAGTAACTTCCATTTGAACGAGCCCCATTGTACGAACCATTAACGTCACACAACAACGCTACGTTAATAAAAATGCGTCGCTTCTCATCGATGACGCTGAACGTGTCAACGCTGGCGTTCGAATCGCTCGAGACGACTCCGTTTCCAGGCAGATATACACAGTGGCGCATTCAGCGGACCCGAAAGCGGAAGAGCGTTTCTTTGATCCTTCACGATTGAAGGGTGAAAAAAAAAAGCGTCAAAGAGGCGACAACCCGCCAGCTGCACAAAGACGTCGCCGGAAGAGGCGCCCGCTCGACCTGCCACCGCAGAGGCCCGAAGGAATGGGCAAAATGTCGTTTTAATGATAAGCATTGCGACCGAACAAGCAACCTTGTGTCCGGTTTTTTTTGTTGAGTGGGGTGGTAATCTCGACCAAGTGGTCTAAGGACAGGTTCTGGGGCGACCCCGTCCTTGTCTCCATCGTGGCACTGTCATTAGGCGCGAAAGGGCGTGATCATGGCATGCAGAACGACAGGCACTTACAGGGGGCCGCCGTTTTCCACTGAACGCCGTCTTTATCGTCGGCAGCTATGCCGAGAGCGCGCTCTTCCTGGAATCGGGCGTATGACCAAGTCTTCGCATGCATACGACGTGCCACGGAGAGGTGTGTATGTATATATATATACATATATATATATATATATACACAAAAAAAAGAAAAAAAAAAGAGAAGTAAGGATTATGAAGCAAGAATCGTAAACATAATAAGTGACGCTCTGCGTTTTTGCAGCTATCAGCGACTATAGTTTAAAGAGTGCAGACCAGTGTACTCCGTTTCAACATAAGCCAGAGCGCAGTCTGCTCTATACGAAGGAGGGGAGGAGGGGGGGGGGGGGGGGGGGCGATCGGCAGGGTCCGAAAGGCCAACGCCACAGCGTTCGCCGTCTCTTTGTGCGTTGCAATAGCTAATTCAATCAAGAATGCTCCGTAATCTTGCGAGTTTTTCTCGCTGTGCACGTGTGTACGTGAATGTGCGTCTTCTATAGCCAATGACCGCACGTCTAATCTTTGGTCAAACATGGTAAGGATCGCCATCGGATCAACGAAGGCATCTGGAAAAGACGAGCACGTCTACAGACGTGTGTAGGGAGCGCTCAATCGCACCGCACGGACGCGGGACAAGAATGTCCTGCGTCTCTGTGCCTCTCTAAAATGTCTGCAGTGTGATGGCCTCAACGAGGGCTGCTTGAGAAGATTGCGCGTGAAATTCAAGCTCTCACTGAGTTTGCGCAATGGGGCATCGAGTCGCAAACCTCTTTGTGGATTTTTATTTGTTTGTGTGTCTGACACCTCGAAGCGTTGACGTGTCTCCACGACATCCGTGTTGGTGGACGGAAACACTCAGTGTTGGGTTATGGTTAATTTATTCATATAATTTTTGTTTCCTCCGGGTCAGAGGCATTAAGAAAAAAAACGAAGTTTGTAAATTGAAAAAGAAAAAAGAAAAAGAAAAGAAAATCACTAAACGCACTGCAACAAAATTTTATAGAGCAGTTAGGGCTTTTTTACAAAAGGAGGTTATTCACGACACTTCGAAAGCTCGCGTCATCAAAGTTTTCGGTGATAGGCTGGGGAAGGCGATTCCCATTGTTGAATGTATATCGAATAAAACGCTGGAGGAGAAATTCTGTGCGACATGACGCGGTGCCAACTTTATGATGGCGACCGGTGAGTGCTGTACTGTAAAAAAAAAAAAAAGTGCTTTAGTAGCCTGTCCTTGAGAATCGAATTGTTACGATATATGTTATCAAACAAGTACGGAAGAAAACGGATTCTAAGTTGTGAAAACGATGAGGCTGATTTCCTTGCGGTTACACTTGAGGTGCGATAATAGTTAGAAAGTATGAAACCAGATGCGTGGTTCTTCGCAGTTTCTAATTCCGAGATAAACGAAAATGTGAACCAGGATCCCAAACGGAAGCTGTATATTCCAACTTAGTACGAACAAGAAAAGAACAAAACAAAAGGACACAAAAAAATGTGGCTTTTGGGGGGGGGGCACCACAACACCGTTTCAAACATAGCTCCTCTTAGTACGAACTAGGCCTTTAAAAAGGAAGTGATTTTAATGAGCCGCGAGCACGATAAAAAAATCTCTTCGAAAATAGCCGAGCATGCTGTTAGAGTAACAATATAATCTACGTGACGAGTCTATGACAGGTTAGACAAGAGATGCACACGAGAGATAATTAAATGATGGCACGTCAGTAGATGATATTGTTTAGGTGGTACGAAGAACGAATAGTGTGAAGACGGGAAACACGCAGAGATTTACTACGCCTGTCAGCATTCAGTTTCATGAGCCACAGATAACACCACTGGCAAATATGGTTACTATCAGACTGTTCGCGTCTCCAGCTCGTTGCTCGCCCTCCTGCGGAGGAATCGGGAAGCGCTGAGGGTCCCCCGATTTCCAGCTCAGCGGGCACGGCGGAACTGCGGGCGATCAAGGCTCGCGAAATGTCATTTCCGAACGCAAACAAGACTCTCCACTGTCCCAATGTAGTGCTGCAGCCGGTATGCGATTGTAACCCGACAAGAGAGTCTTAGTACTGCGTACAGAAACAAACGAAAGCGGTGCGCGTTTGCGTTAGAGTTGCGTGCCCCACGTTGTGCGTGCGCGTCATCGCCATGCGCCAATCCAAAACTGCACGCGCAGTGTAGAACACGCAAAAAAAAAAAAAACAGCGTTTGCGTTTGCTCGTATGCGCAATACTAAAACTCAGGGCTGTTTCACCGGCTTCCAACGCCAACGAAACGTGCTGCAGTGAGCAGACGTGCAAGCAGGTAGGCGTTCCTTCGAACTGGAAAGGCTGAAATTGGCGAAACGACAGAGCGTAGAAATGGAAGTAACTAGATGTTGTGAAAAGATCGGTAATCAAAATATATGTTTTTATTTTATTTTATTTGATTTTATTTTATATTATTTTGTATTTTGGAGCATTTGATCTGGAAGGATATTGGCAGCGACTTCGGACGTTTTGCCGATTATAAGAAGTCGCGACTTTGATAGCAAAATATACTTTACCCACAATTAATGTAATTTTACAGGGATTTCTCACATGAGCTAGAATTTTTTCATTGATTCTAGACTATTTTTTATTTTATTACTTGGTTATTAAAAATGTTGCAATTGGTACCAGTCATGATAATTAGCACACTTTTGATTGTCATACTTGTCCGCGCGTTTGAAATTGGATCATAAGCAACAAATTATATTGGAGCTTGAAAAATTACGTATTAAAATATTTGAATGTTAATATTATTATCATTAATACAAATCGCGGCAATGTATGCCCCCAATGCACGCCAAGATCACGAAAATGCGCCATTTAACCATAATAGTTTTTCCAGAAAGGTATAATTTTGTCTTCTTTTTAGAATATGAAAAACTCTGACATCGTTATCAAGGTAGACAAACACTCAAACACTGGATGCAATATAAAGTCCCATGCGTCACGCGTTTCTATAAAACACACACACACACACACACACACACACACACACACACACACACCCACACACACACACACACACACACACACACACACACACACACACACACACACACACACACACACACACACACACACACACTATCTGACTCGGATTCCGTCTTTGGGTTGTTGTAGTGAGAACAGCGTTTATTAATTTATATGTTTTGTGGACATATTGTAAAAATTTGATTTATTCTGTTATTCTTGTGC